TTTTGCGAATAAAACTGTCTCTTTCTCCCTTCATTTAAGTTTTCCCTGAATGGCTCATTCACTATTTTCTTTTTTTTTTTTTTTTGACAGGAATGAAATTAGATAGAGAAATAAAATGGTCTGAATAGGGGGGAAAGGCCAGTAGAGGATATGAGATGCCCCAATGCCACCCCATAATAACAAGGACTTCTGAGCCTTCAGTCTTATTAGCCAAATGTAATTTTGGCTGATAGGATAAGTATTGCACATCTCAGCCTGAACTGTTTTTTCTTCTTCTACCCTATTCTCAAAGGACTTCAGAGAAGTGGAAATCAATAAATCGATCAGGAACTTGTCTCATACCTACATCAGTAATATCACAGCCCATTTTCTAAAGAATAGTTGTTCATTATGGAGACTGAAGCATCTCCATTTGACAGCTTTATCTGTTTTTACTATAGTACAACAAAAACCAATGAAATCTTTTAGAGTGACTTCATAAATAATATTTTTAAAAAGCTTAAATCCACAAAAGGTTTACATATATATGTCTGTGTATATAATGCTCACATAAATACATATACACATGTACATATATGTACATATGTAGAGACGTATATATATGTATACATACATATATATATATATATACATATACATATATGGAGGAAGGGAGAGGGAAGGAGAGTAAAGGGGGAAAATGTATTTTTGATATTTAAAATTTTAACAATGTATTTTTAAAGAATTTATTAAACACCCACTGTGTGTTTGGTGCACCCTTTACAAGTATTATCTCACTTTGTCCTCACTACAACTTTGGGAGGTAGGTGCTATTGTCATCCCCATTCTACAGATAAAGGAAACTGAAGCATATAAAGTTAAGTGATTTGCTGAGGGTCACACAACTGTTCTGTGCTACAGGATCCATATGAATTCAGGTTTTCCTGATTCCAAGATTATCTCTCTATCCGCTAACCTCTGTTGATCCTTTGCTGCTGGTAGTGATAGGGCAAGGGGAGTCTTTTAGCTATTACCATCTCACATTTATATAGCACTTTAAGATTTACAAAACCCTAGGAAGTTTACCCAAGTATTTTAATTCTCATTTTACATTATAGAATTTAGTAGCAAAGAGTTTGAGAAAATTGCCTAGTCATGAGGCCAATAATAAATAGCAGAGACAGAAAGTGAACCCAAGCCTTCTGACTCCAAGTCCAATGCTGCCTTGCCAGAATACTTTGGGGCAACAGCCTTGTGAGGGAGGGAGGACAAGCATATTGCATCTTAGGTGACAAAGCAGAGGTTCACAGAGAATTTGGTCATTTATCCAAGGTGACATGGCTACTAAATGCTGGAGCTGGAACTCAAACCCAGGTATTCTAACTCCATGACTAGGGATTTATTTGTCTTTCTGCCTTTCCTTGCCAAAAGTCATACTGCTCTTAAGTATCTCAAGTCAGATTTGAACTCAGGTCCTCCTGACTCCAGGGAAGGTGCTCTATCCACTGTGCCGCCTCTCTGCCCAGTGATCTTTTCACTTTGCCATGACATGATTACAAAAATTTAAGTAAGTGTGAGGGATCAATCCAATGGACTTTCTCATAAAAAATTGTTGTGTGAGTTGCCTGTCAAGCCTATTAAATTCTTAGTGCTTCCAAACATTCTCTAAGAATATAAATTGTGAATAGTTACTGATCACATTGGTAGTCAGGGTTTCCTCATTAGGAATTCCCTATACAAGTGAAATTATACATCCAATTTTCTCCTCCCCCCTCCATCCCTGTGATAATAATTGACAATTATATTATGTAGTATATGCAGGGGTGTACTAGAGACTGCTCAATTGTGAAATTTTCAGTGTGATCATTTACACCTTAGAAATAGACAAATGCTACAAATCAGGACTTGATGTATTGTTTTGTTGATTGTCTAGACTTAAAGCAGTAGAGAAAATGCTAATAATACAGATTAAACTTAAAAGTGTGCATTCCCCCCCCCTTTGGAGAGATGGTTGTGAAACATTTGCCAGCCCATGACCATATATCACTTTGAATTCTTGCAAGGTACATTACATTAGAATCCCAAAATTTGTGGCGATAGGTATAATATTAAAACTGATCTTTATACTAGATTATGAACTTTTTTTAACAGGTTAAAAACATCAAGAGGGAAGGAGCTGTCTTAATTTTTTAGTCCTCCTATTCCTCCCCAATCTGTCAAACTCTTCTTTGTGTACAGTATTTGTTTAATAATTGGCAGCTAAATGTATCAGTGTATGTATTAGTGAATATCCCAGCAGCAGAACTATCCTTTCAAATCATTCCCCATTAGTGATGATAGATTTGTTCTCATCTTGAATTTTCTTGCAAAGGCCCCTTTGGTCACCCAGGGAATCCTCTGGGATCAACAGAACACCTTACCACACAATAGTGATATGGTCTATGTATATAGAGTAAAACTGATGGCCACAGAGATCTAGCATAAGCCCTTGTCATTGTTAGCACTGTCTTTTCAGTGCCTAGGCTGGTCAACCATACATTTGGGATGAAAATGTATATAAATCATATAAAGCTAAAAATTGAAAGCTTCTGAATCCATCTATGGTTTATGCTGTCATCAGGAAAGAGAATTTATTTGTGCAGCTACTGGGATAAGAGTGGCATTTGTGCAGACAGCAATACATTTGGGGCTATAACTTAGTATGAGTATGATATCGCGTTAGAAGTGCTGCATTTGAAATTAAGGGACCTCATTTTGAATCTTTGCCTTGTGAGTTACTGCCTATAGCATTTAGAGCAAATCATGTCATCTTTTTAAGCCTCAGTTTCCTCATGTTTAAACTGTGAGATTTGGACTAAATTACCTCTAAGCTTCCTTCCACTTTTAAATCGATGATGACCCCAAAACTTTGGTTCCAGTTTTAAATCTATGATCTTAAGGCTTGCTTATGTGATAAAAACAACAACAACAACAACAAAAAAACTAGTTCATAGTTTAATGAGCGCTTATAACAATATATGTTTGTGGAAATAATAATCTGTGGAAAATGTCATGATACAGGACTGAACAGCAGGAAGAATACTGAACTAGGAGTCCATAGATCTGGATTTGAATCCTTCCTCAGACACTGACTGGGAAACCACTGATGAATCATTCAAAGCCCCCCTTTCCTCTTGTGAAATGGGTCTAATACTTGTGCTATCTATTTGACTCAGTTGTTATGAGGAAAGTGTTTTCACAAATTTAGGTCACTATGTAAATGTGTTATTAGTAGTAGTAAAAATGAAAATATCTCCCCGACTATAGATATAAAACACAAGTTGAGGGACAGAAAGCAGTTCTCAACCAGAGAGATCTTTTTCTTCTTTGGATGTAGCCAGGGAAGATGGTCTACTGATTTATTCTGCCCTTGGCTGTCTTTTTTGAAGAATCAAATTTCGTATTATTACATTTGGCCCACAGTCCTAGCCTAAGTCTTTTTGAATCCTTCCTCTGTTATACAGTGCTGCTTCGACTATCCCTTTCACTTTGTATCATCTGCAAACACGATGAGCACTCTATTTTTGCCTTTGTCCAAGACCATTTCTGGGGTAACAGTCTCAGATTTGGAGCTGGAAGGGTCCTTATATGCTTTCTAACCCAACGTCCTCTTTTTACCGATGAGGAAACTAAGGCACAGGGAGGTGGTGACTTGCCTAAGGTCATATAAGCAGTAAATGACAGAGAGGGAATCTGAACGCAGATTCTCTTCTACCTTCCACCACAACATTCAGCCTCCAAAAGCTGTGGTGAGGATTCTCACTCACTCTCATTCAGATGCAGGTTGGACTAGTGTCTCCGATGTTCCTTCCAATTCTGAAATTCTTTGAGTCTTTGCGTTCATTTTTCTCTTAGCTTTTCCTCTTTTACAAGTATTGTCTTTCTTTGGCAAGAGAGGATCCTAGAGTTTTCCCTTTTTCGAGGGGTTTCTAAGACAGGACTTGTTCTAGGAGGCAGGTAAGGTGCCCTGTGGCCCTATGCTTTCCGGTTGGCCGAAGTAGTGTAACTGATGACAGTGGACCCCTGGATGAAGGTTAGGGAGCTTGGCTCCGGCCTCTTCCTATTTCTTTGAGGCTGGGGGCAATGAGGTAACAGTGCCTTGTTATGCTTCCCCCTAGAGAAAGCCAGGGGTAGTGTCGGTGGCGGTTACCCAAGTAGCAGAACCGCCCGCCCGCCTGGCTAGCTCCCTCCCTCCCTCCCAAAGTCTCCCCGGGCTCAGCCGGTGCGATCAAGAAGCTGCTGCAGGCAGAGCGCACCATCCAACCACTCCGCCTTTGCAAGGAGCCTTTTCCTGCACAATGCAATTAGATCCGAATAAACATTCGAAACAGTCACTTTGTAAACAAAGTGCACAATAGCTCCCCAGTGTTCTGCTGCTCAGGGGTGAAAAGGGGAGCAGTGAGGAAGAAAGGAGGGGTGCAGTGTGGGGAAGGAGAAGGGGAAGGGAACGAGAGTCAGGTTGCTGCCTGAACACTCGCGGAGACAAGAGGGCTCCCTTAAGTTTCTAATGAAGTAGAAGGCTGTCCCTGGAGATTAAGTTCACATTCTCTGTAACTCAGTTACCCACCATGCCAATTCTGGGTAAGAAGAGGTTTGTGTAAGGCCCACAATCGTGTGTATACAGTACAGATCCCCATTCTTGACACCTCAGTCACCTATAGATACTCTGACTTCTGGTCCTTGCTAGTATCTGATTCTAGCTCGGGGTATGAGTTGACATCCCAACCACCTTGAACGTCCACTATGTAGTAACAGTTTTCTTGGAGTTCCTAGAAGTCAGTCTACTTCTCTTTGCAGAAAGACCAGATATCCAGGGAATAGAAAAGATCCCCTCCTATCCTATCCCCGGTCTCCACTGGGCCGCAGCTGTAAGAGCCTTGGCTCGTTTCAGCTAGGTGAAGATGCGCCTGGAGTCAGAGACCTGGGGACAGAAGAGCTCTAGTTCGTCGGGTGTCTTGAGTAAAGCATGTGACCCCCGTCGAACACCTACTTGCACAGACGCCTGTGACCACGCAGCAAGGCCCACCTCAGGCGTGTGCGGAGTGTTATTTGTGGGGCTCACGCAAGTCCAGGACTGGAGACCTTTGCAAGTGGCGTGAGTCCCGAGGAAATGAAAAACCGACCGTTGAAGAATAAACCATTCGAAAGGGAAAACACAAGCAGGACCTCCTTTAAGCTCACGCACAATTAAAGCCACAGTCTATGAAACAAGGACATGAGCTTAAAAAAGGAGGGGAACATAAAGGGGTCCTTGTTTTCTGATAAAGCAGGCAGGTCTATAGGTGCGTCTTTTTTGTCTTCGTCCCGCCTGCTCTGTGGTTTTCTCAGGAGCCGCGTGAGAAGTAAGGACAAAGTGCCGTCCGTTTTTGTGAGTAGGGCTCCAGGGTAGGGAAGGCCTTGATCACAGTGATCAGACTCGGGGCCCAGCTAGTACAGTCTAGTGCCTCATAATATCACCTGAGAGGGAAAGAAGGACCCAGGCCTAAATTCTGGGGTCGTTTGGCCAGGCTAGGAAGAACGGGCGGTGGCCACCCTCAACCTCAATCTGAAAAAAGAATTCGTTTTCCTCTCACTTATTAGGGCCGCCTATACTTTGGTGAAAAGGACACAGATGTGACCTACACTGCCTCTCAGGACATAGAGTAGTGCTGGGGTACCAGGATCGGGTTAGTTGGTGGTCGGGAGGAGCTCCCTGACACAGTCTGGGAGGTGAGACAGAAACGTGGAAGAGATTCATCGACTCTTTACCTTTCTTCTTCTTAAAGAACAATTCGGGGCAAGAAGAGAGAGAGGCCACTATTTTTTAGGTTATTTTTTTTTGTTCTTTCCTAAACATCACTACCTGTCCTAGCAGGAGTAAAGGACAGCCGGTTAGTTTCCTTCGCATTGGCTGAACAGGTTCTCAGGCTGATCTGAGCCAGGCATTCTGAAGTACGTCGAACCCATTTTATTTTTCAAAGGTGTATCCCTATCTACATCCAGGATAGTTTCTTCTTGGGTGCTTTATCCCATTCCATCCCTACATTCCCCACCTTTTTTTCCCACATATTCAAGTGATTTTGTGTTTCGACAGTCACTCGGATCAAGACTTCCCAAACTTTTCCCCCCTCCTTCGTTGGAGGTGGTACAATACCTCCCACCCCTACCCCCCCCCCCTTTTTTTGCGGAAAATGTGGGTAATGTATGTGAAACGCAACTAATTCACTGTGTCTAGCAGCGCTACAGACATCACAGGGGGAGGGGGCTTATTTAAAGAATTTGGTGTTTCTCTCTGAAGTTACCGAGGTGCCCATTAAAAATAGGAGCTTGTCTTGTTTACATCTGAGATGCTGGATCTCCGGGTCTGAGGTCTCCCAGAGAGAGAACACCTTGTTAACAGAGCTGCAGAAGCTACAAGTTGTCACCCGGATGCACTGATGTGGTGAGTACCTATGGGGTTATTATATACCACCCTTATTTATGCTCCAGCATGTGACCCATCATCTCTAAATGGCTTATTGCGAGTGGCAGGAATCTCTATATTGGCAAGGCGGGCTAATTAGGTGGCTATTACTGTCTAAGCTTTCAAGAAGGCAGAAGAAGCAGACAGGTAATCTATCTCCTCTCCTCTCCTCTTCTTTTTCTCTCCTGTGCTCTCCTCTCTCCTCCTTTTCTTCTCTCTCTCTCTCTCTCTCTCTCTCTCTCTCTCTCTCTCTCTCTCTCTCTCTCTCTCTCTCTTTCTTCAAAGATAGGGGTTTGTGACAGGGATCCTGGGTGATATCTGTGTTTCTTGTTTAGGAGGGGCAGGGAGAGAGAAGGAGGATCATCATCTTCTAAATGATCAACAATATTTCACTTATATTATATCTGGGGAGAAGAGGGTGCTATGAGACAAGCAGAAAGATGGCTGGTTGGCGTCTTACTGGGAAAGTGGTCATTTGGGAAGTTTATTTGAAAGACATCTCAGATGGCAACTTACTTTTTTCCCTGATGGAGAAAAGGCTGCAAGTGTCATTTTGGTTTATGAGTTTCTGTGTCTTTTTTTTGGGGTGTGGGAAGGAAGTAGCCGATTTCCAGGTATTTGATCTTGTACTTTTAAATTATAGAATGATCCGAGTTTATTGAGTCATGTAAGTATTTCCTTTGATTTTTTCTTAGAGGAGGGGAGGACGATACATATTGATAGTCACAGTTCGAAGAGCACTGAATTCCGCGAAATAAAATCCTGCAGTTGGGAGGAAGCTTTGGCGATGTTTATGGGTCCCCGCTTTACCTCTTCATCACCCCCTCCCCCTGAAACTACTTCTATGAAATTTACCAGATTCCAACCTTAAGGCAAGGGGAAAAAAAGTGTTTCATATACAAAACGATCGGAGTATTTGCAGATAATTGCGAATGTCAAATACTGCCGTGTGATGACAAAGTGCAGAGATCCCTGGAGCTCGAAGTCTTAAGGGCCAGGGGCCAGCGCTCCGGGCAGGACCTCCTTTGGCCACCTAAAGCCTGTCGGGAGTCAGGGAGCCGCTGCAGGAGGGATGGAGAAGGCAAAGGCCATGGGTGGGGGTGGGGCGGGTAGCAAGGAGGAGAGAGAAATTAAAAAGCAATTGTAGACAACTCTTTTAGCCCCTGGAGCTTCTCCAACCACTGAACAGTTTAGTATTCATTTTATCCACACTTGATCGTAGAGAAGGAAAGGGGGATAGGTTTACAGGAATCACCCACTCACACCTACATGCTCACTCACTCACTCACTCAGTTGGGAACCAGATATTAATAAATGTACAGACCTTTAGGGCCCCATACTTAACTGAGGAGGCTAGAACAGCACCTTCCTTTCTTCACACTTCCAGTTAAGAAGAGCTTCAGAGTTCTTGGAACTATTCTCTAGTGGCCACTTAAAAGACTGGCGTTTCTTTCTTCACACCCCACCTCCCCTCAAAATGGAATGATCTTGAGATGCTTTCTGCCTTAAGCACTAGGCATTATTAAGCATTATTCTAGTAGTTTTATGAATAAGAACAAAGATGGGGGGAGGGGGAAATCTGACCTTTTCCCTCCTTGGGTTTTCTGAGAGAATATTGGGAACCTTCTGGGAATTGTTCTGCAGTCTCACAAAAGCAAACCCCTCAAAATTCAAAATAAACAGTAGAAGGCAGGCCCCCATCTGCTGAGAATACTGATCAAGGAGCATCTATGAGGCAGTTGGTTGAGAAGGAAACAACTGTTTCTCGATTTTACAGAAAGTGAGTCTGTGGCTCCCCCTCCCCACTTTTAAGATTACAAACCTGTTAAAAATTGAAGGGGGTGGGGCTTAATCCTTGGGAAGTGCTAAAAGGATATCCAGGTGAGAGGTGGAGAGATATAACCTCCCTCACAACCCTAGCAGTATTATGTAAGGACCTAGTAGGGTCTTTGCTTCTGTCTGTTGGTGGAGTGAATCTGAAGGAGATGGACTGGCACACAAATACCTTTTTGCGTGAGGGCCAGGAAGAGATACCATCTTAGCCCAGTTCTACAGGGGCCTCTGCCAATTGGGCCTCCCATATAGAGGCCCTCTAGCGAAATCATTCAGTGAGCACTCATCAGTCAGCCACTGACAGATCCACTTTCTTTTTGAAGGATTTATTCAGGATGGGATGCATGTTTTGCTCAGACTCCAGAAGGTCAGGGAAGGGGTGGGTAAGTGTGTATTGGTATTGACAAAAGAATTGTAAATGCTCTGAGAAAGTTCATGTGTATATTTCATAGGCTTGCACTCCTCTCCCCATTCCACCTTTCTTCTTCCTCATCGAATGCATACATGTCTATATGTTAAGTTATTGGATGGAAACCCTTAAAATTTTACCCTATAGTTGTCTGGGGTTTTCTGTAAGGATAAAAGTTTTTTTTAAAAAACTGCCAGTCTACAGTACCAGGTACTTTGGGGGGTCTGGGGGAGATGAGGTGGGATGGAGAAGAGGAGGAAGAAAAAAGAAAAAGGAATTGTCTCTTCAAATTACCCCAATATTTCTTACTTTCTATTGCACTTGAATTTGAGGAAACCAAGACCAAAAAGGCTAGAAACCAGAATGTCTCCAGCAGGGGAAGCCCTGGCAAGCAGGATTATAAGGAGCCTGGTTTCTTTGAGCAGGATAAACAGTCTTTCTCTACTTGCCCACATCCTTTTAAACAATTTGCTACTATAGCCTCAGTCTTTGTATGGTAAGATTTGCCGGGACAAACATAAGCAAAGTTCAGGGGCAAGATACCTCACTTTAAAGGAGGCAGTCACCTGGTCAGCTCAGTGGCAAAACAGTCAAGGAGTCAGCCATTCGGGCTTCAAGTCTTATTAGGGTTGTTGTAAACTTTTAGTGTCTGTCCTGGAGCCTGAGTGGGACTCAGGCCCCAAACATGTAAGATCTGATTCTGTTTGACTTTCCAAATCAAAGTGCATTGATTGGGCCCAAAGAGTTCATGGTGCATAAATACTTTAATTAAACCTGCAGTAAACAGACAAATCACTTCTCACTCTTCCATAGAGAAGTTGGGCAGGTCTCCCTGTGTCTGGCTGCAGATCTTGAAGCTGTTTAGTAAAAAAAAAAAGTGAAAAAGAAAAAAAAAAGGAAAGCAGGGAGGAGGGAAAGACAGAGACAGAGAGAGAAAGAGAAGGGGAGCTTGTTACATGGGGGGAAAACCATTATTTCAGCCCAGATAAACTAAAAGGAAAAAAAAAACACCTTCCCTGTGAACTCCAGGTGATGATGTCAGAAAGGTGTTGAATTTATCAAGCTTTGTTTCTTCTCTCAGTATGTGCTTATGTCACCTTTCATCTTCCAATATACTTCTAAAAAAGGAAGGCAAGGATGACTCCACATTGGGACAATTTCTCTGGGTGTGCTTGAAGAATTGCTGAGATAGTAAAATCTCAGAGCATTTCTTGATACTCTTGGGCTGCCAGTTTGAGTATCAATTTCTCTAGTCACCTCCCCTCTTTCCCTCCCCCTCCCCAGTCTCTAACTCCTCCTTTACCAGTTCCAGTTATTTTTAGCACTAGCTCAGATCCTCAGGTTGTTCTTGGCTGTGGGGTGCCTTATAGTCATCGCCCTTTGGTTACCCCACGTATATTCCTGATGCTGCTTCTTTGTTGCTAGCCAAGAAGCCCTGCCTTGGCTACAGTGGAGCTCTCTGATTGAGGTGCTGGGGAAGAAAGAAGTTCTGGCATTATGAGGCAAGGAAGCAAATCATGAAAGGAAACTTTGGTTCCCCTGGGGTAGGCAAAAATGAGTGTTAGATCTCAGTGGCTTCAAAATCGCCACCTTCTCCGCCTATTCCCTCCGCTGCCTCCGTCGAGCCCCCCCCCCCGCCCAAGTTATGAAAGTTGGGGGGGAGAGAAAATTAATCAAGGCTGTGAAAAAGTGGTTAGGGAAAGTGTTTTGATGGGGCTCGCCTTCTTGAAAGTTGAAGGGAAAACAGAAGCTTGAACTACTCCCACGTCATCAGAGTGACTTTAAAAGTGGTGGTACTGTGGAAGCGGGTTCATATGAACAGTGCCAACAACTCCACAAACCAGTGTTCCTGGAGATACAATTTCTCAGCAGACCTAATTTCCTCAGTGGGTCTCGTAGCCTGAACCCAAATCTTCTAAAAATGATAGCAGTGATTTCAGGTTAAGAAGTATAAAAGAATGAAAAGAAACCCAATGGGTTTTTCAATCGTCAGTGTCTCAAACTCTTTATAATATGAAGTTGATATGGCTCAGGAAATAATGTATTCATTCATACATATATATCACATACATTCATGTACACACATTACATGTATCATATACACACACACAGATATTATATAAATATGTGACATATTGTATATATGTGTGCTTTCCCGAATGAGGCCAGTTTTCCATTCGTTTACATATTTGGATTCGATTTTTAAAATTGAGTGCTTAACATATGAGTCTAACATATCTGTTTCAGAAATATTACTCTTCATTTCTCTCTTGTATTTCACTAGTGGGGTCCTAATTTAGTAACCACTGACTTGTTCAGGTGTGGCAAAGATTTAACATATTTTTATCCCCCAAACCTGTCGTCCTCCATCTTACCCAGCAGAATGTAAGGGAAATAAAGACCAAATTGCATACATTCTTTAAAAGACGTTTTGCCACTAACGTTTGGCAAAAATTGAGTTTTGATTTCATTTCAGTTTTTATGCAAAATTCCACCGGAACTTACTAATCAGACATTTGAAATGGTTATAGATAAGAATATGTTTAAATAGGGAGATTGAGGCAAGATGCCCAGGTGGGAAAAAAATGCATGAAAAGTTTTAAAGATTGTCAGAAAAGGGAAAATTATTTTAAAACAAACATCTAGAATTTATTAGATCATGGAAAGCTTAACTTGACACTGCACAATCTCCTTATAGGGCTGAAATTGACCAACCAAAATGTAGTAAAGTATCTTT